GTCCTCATGAAATTTTACAATGAGAATGTCATCTATTTTTGCAGAAGTAATTACATTGTAGTTTGACTTGTAATTTTGGAGACAACACTAGACCTGTGTGGACGTGACACTGGTGAACACCGGATAGTCACGTTAAACGCATGACCTGTTCTTTCATTTGTAATGCAGTAACAGAGTAAAAATGTCCCAGGTTTACAGTGTGTGATATACTGCCACTGCAAGATACCATTAGCTGGACCAAAGATTATACAGCATTATAGAGCGCCTTTCAACCACGCTGGGAGGTAAGCAAAAAGTACTTCTTTATGGTTTGAGATCCTGCTGAAACGGCTGAGACTTATTTTTAGCACATTTGAGTTAACATCCCGACTGAGCAAACTGAGTACATGAACAACAGCTAGAAATTTAAGAAAGCAACTGAATCACTTAAAATCAGATAATGCCTTTATCAAAATCACCACATTTCATGATTTAAATACTTTTACATTTTACTCTTAAAAGGTGCACTGTGTAACTTTTGTGGAGGAGGTCCCACCACCTGCTTGTTTTCATGGAAATGTTGTTGCTTTGTCTGGAATGTTCTACAGTTTATCTCTCTTGCATTTATTGAGTTACAAATGTTTGTATTTCTCAAAAAAACCTTGAAAAACTTGCTGTGTTATCGTTTGCTGGGTCGCCTTTTCATAAATCTAACCTTTTCAGTTGGCCTGGTGTTGCCACATGCTTGTTTCCATGGAGACAGATAAATTTAATGCCATACTGTGGAATATTTTAGACAGTGCAATAACATCTTCACTGATACAAGCAAGCGGTGGACCCTCCACCAAAAAACTTACACAGTGCACCTTTAAAGTACATGTTTAAACAGGTAGAGTAGATTTTTACTTGAGTTATCTTTTGCCCCTGTATGTTGTACTTAAGTAAAAAAAAATTGAGTACTTTTGCCATTCAGTACTGGTAAGCCACAGCTGTCCTGGGGCAGACTGACTGAAGCAAGGCTGTCAATCTGCACCATCTCCCATCCAAGTCCAGTCACCATCAACACTCAAGCACATATCAGACACATATAAAGCAAGGTGGGTGATGTGTGTTGCTCAAGAACACAACAACAGCGCCAAAATATCACACACACTATTTCATTACAAATACTTGTTATACTGCAATACAACACCACCAAAAGAGATTCATTTACTGTAACTGTGTCATAGAGCCATGTCAGTCAGCTTGAAGTGCTCAGTTTAGAGGGGACAAGTGGTGTGAGTCCAGTTTTGAGCTGCTGTAGTCAACTTGTTTTGGCCCTGTTCTAGTCCTGGTTAAATTCTGGTGTAATTCAGACTTAATTGTAAAATGTGTTCCAGTTGTGATGTGGTGTAAAGTCCTTTTATGTGTTGATTTAAATCTCTTCATAACCCTGGTACAAACATAATCAAGGAATTGCACAAAAATGCCCAACTATTACAGCAGAGAGGAAACATGTAAACAACATTTGGCACTGGAGGCACCCGTGGGTCCTGCTTCATCACGGTCTCCTGTGGGTGGACAAATGGCTGAGTGAGGACAGAGTGGATCTGGGCCAAATGCTGACTGTCCCACTACAGGGCAGCAGCTCAGAGGGACATACAGGCTCCGGTACAGGGCTACAGGGCTCCGGTACAGGGCTCCGGTACAGGACTCCGGTACAGGGCTCCAGTATAGGCTGCAGTACAGGTTTAGGTACAGGGCTCCGGTACAGGCTCCGGCACCGGTTCAGAGCTCCGGTACAGGGTCAGGTACAGGGCTCCGGTACAGGTTCAAGTATAGGCTCCAATACAGGGCTCCGGTACAGGTTCAGGTACAGGCTCTGGTTCAGGGCTCCAGTACAGGTTCAAGCACAGAGCTCCAGTACAGGACTCCGGTACAGGTACAGGGCTTCGGTACAGGCTCCGGCACCGGTTCAGAGCTCTGGTACAGTTTCAGATACAGAGCTCCGGTACAAAGCTCCAGTACAGGGGCTCCAGTACAGGGGCTCCAGTACAGGGGCTCCAGTACAGGGGCTCCAGTACAGGGGCTCCAGTACAGGGGCTCCAGTACACAGACAGTTTAAAGAAGCTGACTAAGAGACTGCGATATCACCCAAAGTATTCGGCTCCAGACAAATGAAGTTCACAAGGCTAGCAGTTATGGGAGCAAATGTGGAGCTGAGTTCCATATTAGGAGTAGGAATTACAGACAGAATAGCGAAATAAAACCCCCAGGATCATGTAGAGCAGGTCAACACAAACATTTTAAAACCAAGATGACAAGGCTCAGTGCAGCAGTTACAGAGAGAGGGGTGACGGCTTTTCTGTGTAAAGTCAACTGGAAACAGAGTCGATGGAGCTGGAAGTGCCCTCGTCCATAAGCACTTCCCATTTGGAGCGCGGCGGCTATTTTAGCTATGTCCATTTATACAGTGTATGCTCTAGTACAGGCCGGTGACGAGCCCCGACTCTCGCAGCACACAGCTACAGAGTGTACGCTACTGCACTTCCCCAACACCACAGGAAGTTGTGCTGTTGTTGTTGTTGTTATGAGGAAATATGATGGTGATAATGTAATGGTTTGGGTACTCTGATTACAAAACATTGTCTGTGCTGTTTGGATTAGGATGTTTGTTACAGATTTATTTATTTACCACACTATTATAAGACCAAGTAATAGCAACAATTATTATAGATTATTATTGGAAATCCTGTTTTTTGTTAAGACTTGGTTAGACTATTTTACTTTAAATAGAATGCAAAATATCTGGGCATGTATTAAAGGATTTCTGTTTTAATTGTTATTATTCATTGAGTGTTGGTGTACTCTAATATTGAATCAGGCAGTGAATCTGACTTTAATTAGATGAATTAATTAGGCCCCCAGGAAAAAGAGATGATGCATCTCAAGATTCAATTCTTAATAAATTATCAGACTTGTCCATGCTATGCAGCCCTCAGGGTTCCCGATGAATTGGAAGAAAACAAAAGTAGTTCTTTTTACTGGAAAATGTGGAGAACTCTGCTACTGTATTAACTTCAATAACAAAGATTTGGATGTGATGCAGATTTAATAAGTGTTCCTACTAGTTCGATACAGTGCACTTTCGGTTTGATATGCTGTATTTCAAATCAACTAGATACAGTCCAATAAAAAACAAAGGTTAAATCATGGCTGTGATACTAAAAGTCTTTGTTAAACCACTTCTTGTGCAAAGTTCACATGAAACACAAACATTTTATTCATCAAAACAGTAAATGTGTCAAATGTGTCGCATAAACAAGTTTCCTTCATGTGAACAAACAACAAAACTGTAGCTGTAACAAAATAATTTAGTAAAATAGACCAAAAAATACTCAATATCAATACAGCAGCCCACAATATTGATACTGTATCATCACATTACACAACACGATATATCAATATTTCAATATTTTTGCACAACCCTAGTTCCTACCCTTATTAAATCTGTGGTGGCTCAGTCAAACCTACATCAAATGTGATATTTTGAATAATTCACTCCGGTCCTGTACGCCGATATGTAACCCATCGCCAGTGTTGGGGAGTAACAGATTACATGTACCAGAGTTACGTAATCAGAGTACAAATGATGAGTAACTGTATTCAGTTACAGTTACTGTTTCAATGAGTGGTAATTGGATTACAGTTACTTTGTTGAAATAAATGAATTACACGGCAGTATTTTCCTGTTTTCACATTTTGGGCTATATCCTTTTTTTTTTTTTTTTAAGTAATTCCACTCATTGCCGGACACTAAACCAGAACTAAATCAGGATTGAACTAGGGCTGAACCCAGGTCTAAACCAGGACTAAAACCAGGTCTAAACTAGATCTAAACCAGGTCTAAACCAGAACTAAACCAGGTCTAAAACCAGATCTTAACCAGGGCTAAAACCAGGTCTAAACTAGATCTAAACCAGGACTAAAACAGGATTTAACAGAATGAAACCATGCCGCGCGGACCGTTTCTCCTCCTCTTCTATCAATAATATTTTTAATACGGTTAAGGAAAAACTGGGCTTTTTATTTTCTTTTAGCAGGCAAAACATCTTATCTGAAGATTTCCGAGTCTTTGCTTCTCTACAGCAAATCAAGTAATCCAAAGTATTCAGATTACGTTACTCACTTTAAGTAATTTAATGGATTATGTTACAAAATACATTTTGGGATATGTAATCTGTAATCTGTAGGGGAATACATTTTAAAAGTAACCTTCCCAACACTGCCCATCGCTCCACAGAACTTTGGAGACCCCTGGCACAGAAAATGAATGAATGACGACGGCCTGTTTGAGTGGCATTTCTTAAGACTACAGTTTATTCATTGTTACTTTTCATTTTATTTACATTCTATACAATTTTCTGTACAGAATCAAGTTAGTGTATTTCTCTTGCATGCCTATATAAATCCAAAATCTGTGCCCTATTCCTTCTCCAGTGTAAACTTTATTAGGAATCTTGAGTCTTCCTGTAGGCTAAATACTAGGGAAGCGATTTTTTACGCGTGCATTAGTGGTTTGCCTAATTTTGCTGTTTTTTTTTAGGACAAATTAAAGCTAAATAATAATAATGGCAAAGAATAAAATAATAAATACTTCCTATCCGTCTCCATGGCTACCTGAATGTTCCGCCAGGTGTTTTCCCGTAGATAATTGCGCGTGCGAGTCAAATCGATACCCTTCGATTTGTCAACCACGACTCGATAAACTTCTCTTAAAACATAACCACACTAATGCATATTCCATCTCAAAGCACCTTACTCACTTACGTACTTTAATTATGCATGACGCGCCACCAAACTACTGAACAAACTTACCTTTACGTCAACTTTACGCAGCATGCACCGAGTCTGCACACCTCAAGTTCGAACGCTGTCATGCCACCATTTTTAAGTATTTATCGAATTCCCAATTGACACGCAGCTTTGTTTTCCTTTACGCTTTACAACTTCCAAACCAAGCGTAACGTGCTCGTACTCACTTTGCGCAGGAGCTCCGAGTTTATGCGTCTTCTGCGTTCAGCGTAAACTCCAAAAACGTGTCTTCTAATGCGCCAATTGTCAACTTCCCTCCACATTCACGTCCGTAAAACCTCCTCCGGTCATACCCACTCTCTCCTCCTGTGGACCGAATACAACAAGCTTTGAAAACCTCGGCAGTGCCACTCTCTCCGGGATCGGTAAGGGCGCTGACACGGAGCTGACCCGGGAGCGGTGTGTTTACATGGCGAGCCTAAGGGGAAGCGGGTTAACAGGAGGCGAAACTGGTCTGAGATCTGTGCCGGGTATGAGCACCTCCAGGCCCCGCCCATCCCGTCCGCTGATTGGTTAGACGTCCCGAAGGCGCGCCCAAACGTGTACGTAATTGGTTAAGAGCGCTGTCAATCACTTACATTCTTAAAACAGTCGCAACCGAGAATTAAATATAAATTAAATAAATTAAAAAGAATGAAAAACAAACTACGATTAAAACCATAGAATATTTAAATCAATGTTTCATTATATTTTGTTATTTTATGTTTATGTGGCTATGTATACACGTTTGTTTAATACGATTGGTTCACTAAATGTTTGAAAAAATAAAATAAAAATCGCACATTGTAAATAACCTATAGTATAATTTGTCTTGGTTAAAATCTCTTGTGACTTTTTATTTTTATTATTATTATTATTTATATTCTACTATTTTCTGTTGTTAACCATTAACTTACGCGTTTATGTTTAGCGCTTTTTATTTTGAAGGGTTTATTTTCGTTGAATTATCTTGATTCGGAGCAAATATATACACATATATTTTTTGGTGTTTTCTATGTCTTTGTTTAGCTTCAAAGGTATGTTATTGATGTAAATATTTCTTTTGAATAACTTTGTGTGTCTAGTTTTTATCATTGTTGATTGATGTTGTCAAGATGAATGTAAATAATTATCAAACTTGCGTTGAGTTTTGTGTATTTGTATTTACACTCTGTATTTTGTATTCTTTTTAGCTCTTACTGTAAATTGGAGGATTTATTGCCATTAAATATAAAAATCACCAGTTCAAGTCTTCATTCAGAGGGATACTACATTTCCCTTTTTTTTTTTTTTTTTTTTGACACGTGGGGTATACGAAAAAGTGGCATATTTACTGTTGTGTATTTATTTATTTTGTATTTATTTGTTTATTTTTTAAGATTAAAATCAAACTCACCAAAATAAAACTATAAACTACCGATAACATTATGGTCTCTCAAACTCTGTAGCCTAGTGAAACAACCCCCCCTACAGTACAAATGTAGTAATGCAGCCATAAATCAGACTTGGAAGGTAAAATAAGCCCAGTCTATCTAGCCAATCTCATTCCCTCCTGAATATGAATAATAGTCTTTTTGTTCCCACACATTCAAAACAAAGTGTATTCAAAAGTGACAGCCTCTTTGTCCCTGCCTGGGATCATAATGTCTGTCTGTGTTATAGACTATTGTTTGAGAACAATGAACTAAAGGCTACTTGTCATACTGTCTTAGTAAGGCTACTGCTGGACCTTTTTAAACCTTTTTTTTTTTTTTTTTTTTTTTTTTTGGCCTTACTAGTATATATCTGAATCAGCATCTTTTTACAAAACCTGGAATTATGTTTTAGAGTTGGTGTGAAGTGAATGGTGTCCTCTTGGTGGGTGGACCCATTCTTAAATTAAATGATTTGGAGATAGGGATGTAACAATCACCAAAATATCGTGATATCATATCGTCAAAAGTCTCATAATAATATTGTGAGCTGTCACAATATATCGAATCACAAGTTTCTTTGCTTAAATGCGTGGTTTTATTAGGAACAGCTTATAAACATTGGAAACTACATATCCCATGATCAGTGTTGGGCTGTAACAGATTACATGTACCAGTGTACCAATCAGAGTACAAATTATGAGTAACTGTATTCAGTTACAGTTACTGTTTCCATGAGTGGTAATTGGATTACAGTTACTTTGTTGAAATAAATGGATTACATGGTGGTATTTTCCTGTTTTTTCACATTTTGGGCTAAATCAGGTCTAAAACCAGGACTAAACCAGGACTAAACCAGGACTAAAACCAGGACTAAAACCAGGACTAAACCAGGACTAAACTAGGACTAAAGCCAGGACTAAACCAGGACTAAAACTAGGACTAAACCAGGAATAAAACCAGGACTAAACAATATGACACTTAACATTAGGGTGGACATAATTTAAGGCAGCAGTGATCTCATATAGAAATCATTTCTCTATCAGTAATATTTTTAATATGGTTAAGTAAAGACTGGTCTTTTTATTCTCTTTTAGCAGACAAAACATTTTATGTTAACATATCCTGGTCTTTGCTTCTCTACTGCAAACAAAAGTCTGTTCGTGGAGATTTGGGATCAACAGACAATTTTAAGAGAACAAACATGAATTTTCAGGCTGTGGTTGGTACATTCATGTAGTTTTAAAAAGCATGACAATATCAAGTAATCCAAAGTATTCAGATTACGTTACTCACTTTAAGTAATTTAATGGAGCACGTTACAAATTACATTTTGGGGTATGTAATGTGTGATGGAATACATTTTAAAAGTAACTTTCCCAACACTGCCCATGATTCATTTCAGTGCAGACAACATGAAGAGATATGTTTTTGACTTGAATTCTTGGGATTATGATGGAGATAATTCACACCAATATCTTGTCAAGGTATTTTAAAAGCAATATACAAGTATTTACAAATATACACATTTATGTTGACTTGTATATTTACATTTATATAATTATGTCTTATTTGACACCTGTCTCTTACTCTTTTTTGCTACTTATTTAGAATTTATTATTACCATTTATATTTTTTATATTATATTGTGATGTGTGAGCTCCTGTGTGCAAAGAATCAATAAAGTTTGACTAAGTCTTAGTCTAATGTCATTTCAGTTCAGCAACATAAACCATGAATGCCACTAATTTAAATTAACCTATCATACTTGCCATTGGCTAAAAACAAAATGAAAAAAGAGTCCCATCTACAAAAATACTGCTATAAATATCATACTGTGAGATACATATCATAATAATATTGTATCGTGAATTTTGGATATCGTTACATCTCTATTTGGAGACTGTCAAACACAAGGAATAACAATCCAGCACTTGGCTTCATGGCACCAGTTCACCAGAGCTGGGTTAAGTTATACTTTATTAATCATGTGAGGAAATTAGTACTCTAAATGTAACCAATCATCCAGCGGTATTCGGGCTACTTATCTGGAGTAGTGCACATGCAGCCACAGTGCTATAGCCCACCTGTGACTATGTGTTCAGAAGGGTCTGGTAGATTTAACCTTATTTAACCTTATTTATCATATTATACATTCTGCTTTTCATCCAGTCGCACATCCAGTCACTTTACTGTGTACTAAATTGTAGGCTATGTTCTATGTTATGTTACCAGATAATGACAATGCTGTGTACAAGGAAGGACATCAGTAGACTCAGGTGTGTGTCAAAGTGTGCAGCAAGTTCCTGGAGATGTTCTACCAGTCTGTGGTGGTTAGAGTCCTGTACTTCAGTGTGCTTCTGCTGGGGGAGTGGCAACAGTTAAAGGGACATTGGGCAGATTGACAAACTGATCCGTAAATCTGCTCACGTGATCAACTGTGAGCTGGAGACATGTGTCACAGTGAGGGACATGAAGACGCTGGACTAACTCCTGCTCCCCCACTGCACCAGACTATAGAGGGACAGATAATACTCCCTACAACTGTACAACAACTCACCCACTGCACCAGACTATAGATTGACAGATAATACTCCCTACAACTGTACAACAATTCACCCTTATGTAACAGATAATACTCCCTACAACTGTACAACAATTCACCTTTATGTAACAGATAATACTCCCTACAACTGTACAGCAACTCACCCACTGCACCAGACTATAGATTGACAGATAATACTCCCTACAAGTGTACAGCTCACCCTTATGTAACAGATAATACTCCCTACAACTGTACAGCAACTCACCCACTGCACCAGACTATAGATTGATAGATAATACTCCCTACAACTGTACAACAATTCACCCTTATGTAACAGATAATACTCCCTATATCTACAACAACTCACCCACTGCACCAGACTATAGAGCAGGGGTGGGCAAACGTTTGACTTGTGGACCACAAAGGGTTCTAAACTTTGACGGAAGGGCCGGACCAGGAGCAAATGGATGTAGTTTTTTGGTAATCTACCCCATGAGAAAAAAAATTCCAATGTTTTTGAAATATCCCATAACTGAACATCATTACAAAGCATTACAACAACAAAAAAAAAAAAAGAATTTCAAGTCCCACAGTATTCACTATTTATTTAAATGACTTTTAAAAATTATGATTATATTCTTATTCAAGTTAGGCAGGCTGGATTAAAAAGATTAAAGGGCCGCAAATGGCCCCAGGCCTTAGTTTGCCCACTCCTGCAATAGAGGGACAGATAATACTCCCTACAACTGTACAACAATTCACCCACTGCACCAGACTATAGAGGGACAGTCGAGCTCATTCTATAACAGGCTCCTACAGCACCACCAAACAGTGAGAGATATAGAACTACATTCATACTATAATACTCCCTACAACTGCACAACAACTCACCCTTTTGTAACAGATAATACTCCCTACAACTGTACAACAACTCACCCTTATGTAACAGATAATACTCCCTACAACTGTACAACAACTCACCCTTATGTAACAGATACATTTACATGTATGTAATTATGTCTTATTTGACACCTGTCTCTTGCTCTTTTTGCTACTTATTTAGAATGTATTATTACCATTTATATTTTTTATATTATATTGTGATGTGTGAGCTCCTGTGTCCAAAGAATTTCTCTTGAGGATCAATAAAGTTTGTCTCAGTCTAAGTCTAATGTCATTTCAGTTCAGCAGAGCAAACCAAGAATGCCACTAATTGAAATTAAACTTTTATACTTGATATACTCTTGCTATTGTGTTTAGGTAAAAAACAAAATTATTTGATATTATGACTTAAAATAATCTTTTCCATAGATCATTGAATAAGGCACACGTAGTCTACCACTGTGATGTGATCTGCACATTGCTGTAGGCAGAGACAAATATGAATGTGGCATTTTAGATTTTATAAGTGCCACATCTGGGGCTCTTGATTTGGATATTTGGGTACAAAAAGATAACTTGAAATG